ACAAACCGCGATAGCTATCACATTTCCATAAGTCACCCCCCCTCAACCCACCCCTACCCATACACCCCCTCGGTATACCATGACGTGATTATCTACCGCTGGCAACATACACACACTTCCAATGAAATGAAAATAAAAAACTCAATGAAATGAAAATTAAAAAAACTCCACTCCGTAGCTCGCAATTGATTTTTTCCCCTTTCAAACACAAGAGTCGCATGGGCGCAGAAAAGGGAAGTTTTTGTTAATAAATTAACCACAGTAACAGAGGTTAAAACACAATTTATAATAGATCTTACATTCTTCGATTGAAATAACCATTTATAAAGTATTTCAAAAAACGATTGTTTATTTTAAAAATTGTACTAATAAATATACAAGTTACGGACAATAAAGATATGTCCATTGCAAATCGAATGTTAAACGTAAGAGTTTATAGACATTTCAAAACAATTTCTCACTTCTATTTGTCTAGTTTATTCCTTTAAGACACTGCTTACGCCAAATCTTGCTACCAATGTCCATGAGCTAAGCTATAAAACAAATACAACAATTCGCACCTACTGTTTCTTCCAGACTTTTTTCTCCGGGGGGGGGGGGGGCACTTGAAATTTTTGGGGGGTGGGGGAGCGGTCACAGTTTAAAGTATTTATCTTCTTTATAAATTCCATTTCGTTCCGGGAGGCGGTGGACTTCGGGGAGGCCCCCCCCCCCCCCCCTGAAGAGATGCATGGAAGAAACTGTTCTCAGCAACCAATTTATAAAACAATTCTTAAGCCAGCCATTTTGAAAGTCTTTCTGATTGTTAAATTTATATGTCCTTCCTTTTACATTTTTAAAACTACTACCTCAGCAGATCCAGTGTTCAGCGCCACCCCTCCCCTCCCAGAGAACCCGCGTCCTTAGAGTCACGCCCCTGCAAGAAGGCATGAAGATTTTATAAGTAGCCGAGTGTGACGTCGGCGTGAGGTCGGAGGTTTGATGAGAGCAATCTGCTGTACTGTGGCGAGAGGGGAGACAACAACACGACAAGTAACTCCTGCCTTAACTGGGATTTAACAAAACAGAACTGAAGGTATTGTTTCCCTTTCTTTATCTTGGTGAAGTATATTTTATTTATTTTCTCGAAAAGATTTTTTTTATCAGTGAGTAAAATTATGCAAATAAATGAATAAATAAAAATAATTAATAGTCTATATTTCGAATTATCCTTTCGGGTTTATATTTTAACTAAATCTTTTTTGTTATCCTGCTGTATATTGATTGAAGTTAAGAAATTATTTAATTGATAAACACATCCAAGCTAGGATGGCTACCTACATTGTAACTATGGGCAGCAAGGTCTAGAAATTGAACCTTTTGAACTATAGAGTTCAAAGGATGAAAATTATAACATACATAAACATTAAATTGAGTAACAATAGTTACTTTATAAATTGAGGCAGGACTTTTAAATAATGTTGGCTTTAAAAGAATAAGGCAAGTAGCGAGAAAATGGCTATAATTTAAATGTCATCCAGATAACAGCAAATAGAATTATATTTTAGATCTTTTAAATTTTATAGAATTATCTAAAATATTTTATTTGATCTAATTTTATAATAATTTATTTAAAAAAACGTGTCTTTATAGGGCGAATTAGATATTTAGACTAAATCTAAAGCGATATAGTTAATATACATGTATATATAATCTTTTATTTAAAAATAAAGTACCTATATAAGGCCTATTAGATATTTTAGACGAGTTTGAAACAACCTTATCTTAGTTAAAAGTGTTTATATGTAACTAACAAAAGTGATAAGTTAATGCAACATTCATACACGCTCCATTGTTGCCGACAGAAGTACGATACAGTGTATGATTTGTTTAACAAATCCTTGAAGTAGCTGGTAAACATTCAGTTTAATATCTAAACTATTTATACTGTGTAACACATGGACTCATACATATAAATGTTAATGTATACTGGCCAATGTTTAACGTTGTTAGATAAAAATATCAAAGCTGGGTTTAACCTGAAGTGGGGGAATCACATCAGAGTTTCTTCCAGGCATCTCTTCGGGGGGGCGAAGCCCCCCCGAAAAATTTTTACCGCCCCCCCCGAACGAAATGAAATTTATATAATTTATATAGAAAATATATACTTTTAACAGTGTCCGCCCCCCCGAAGAAAGTTTACCGCCCCCCGAAGATTTCAAGTGCCCCCCCGGAGAAAAAAGTCTGGAAGAAACACTGAATCACATAGACACACAGCAGGAGAGTTGGTGAGATGAAATTCGCGTAAATCTCCTTTAAGCTCAATACATCAAGATTCATTTCAATAGATTGAACTGTGGCGGCGTTTCAACTAGTTATGGGGTGGGGGGATCGCTGGTATGCAGGACTTATCTTGAGGTCGGCGTGTTTCGGTTGTTAGATACAAGTAGCGCTGGAGGTATGTCGATTGTGGGGTGTTGCTGTATTGTGGTGTGGGGTTTAAATTGGGTGAGGATTGACAGTTGGATTGTTCTAGGGGAACAAGATGAGTGTTGACTTAATGTATGACACATCTTTTCTACTGACAGTGAAACAAGACTAGTTTTAAGTTAATGAATGATACATATTTTCTACTGACATTGGTCGTTTTGGTGAACAAGTTGACTGTTGACTTAATGCATGACACATCTTTTCTACTGACTGTGAAACAAGATGAGTGTCAATGAATATCACATCCTTTCTACTGATAGTAAGCTGTCCAGTTTTTTAAAGATATTTTTCATGCCGATGTCTAATTAAAGCTTCCTCATCTTTTCTCCTTCAAATTTTAATATTCAACTTCCATCCTCGCTCCCCACACCCTACAGATGTTTTAGACTAGTGAAGCGCAACTGGTGACCTTTGAACTCTGTTTCTGTCGAGGCGGGTTTTCACGAATCTCGGAAGTTAATCGAGTATCCGGATTCTCGGTGATTTTGTCATTGTTTTTTTTCTTCTTTTTCTTCGTTCTTAATTATAGTGGTGGAGGGATGGAGGGATTCCCTTCAACACAATTAAGTATCTGTCAGCTAGTTATGTGCCATATAGGCAGTTGGCTCCGATTTCAGCCTGCTTTTCTATTTTGGATTTGCTTCCAACCAAGAACAAATTACAAGGCAGCAGTTGTTTGATTTTAGAGTTGTCTCTTCTAGAAGGGATGTGTCACCAGCTGTCGAGCCTCGTCTGCCGTGGGTTCGAACTCAAGACTTACCGACTCGACCACGTCGACCCCCTAAAATTCTGGTGTATTTCTCATTGCTGTTCATGAGCATCTCTTAAATTTGTCGTTGTTTTTTAAATTTTTAATCAAATCTTATAAAATAACATTGAACTAACATTAGGTACTATTCTCAAGCACTGTAAAAATATAAAAATCAGTTATACAATGTTATGAATCATCTTATTTCGAGCAAGTCATTTAGTGTGTTACACAAGAAGTGCACATTTATAAGAACAAGTTTTCAAACAAGCTTTGTCCACCTCGATAACAGTTTAAAATAAAGCACCACTCCACCAAAGAAAATGTCAAAATACAATGCCACTTGGGCACATTACTGTGAAACGGCAGCCATGCTGTGTCATTGGTCCCTTGTTCAGGTCTAAGAAATAAAACCATTCAGGATAGACACAGACTATTCTACGAATTCGTTCTACAAGATATTTTTTTTTCTTCCTGATTGTGTAGACTCAATTAAATTCACAGAAGATTTGATAATTTGCCAGACAAAGGACATTTTTCTATAGAGTTTATGTCTTCTAAAAAGTTAAAACATTCAACACAAAATTTGGCTTTATTTCTTTAATTGCGCTCGGTCATTGGAGAGTTCATATTAAAAAAATAATAAACTGTTGAATAGACAATAACTCCATTACTGCAATCTGACTCAAAATTTCTACTATAACACAGGCCTTACATTGTTTAATTTTTAAAAATATCTTTATATTACAGATTGATTTTTCTTTCAACATAATGAATCAGTTCAAGGGACGCAACTCATTTAAGACAAGTCTAATTATAACCAGGTCACAGTCCTCGCGAGGTAGCCAGTTTCAACCCCGAATAAAACTCCACTAAACAATACCAGAGCTCTGTTTCAAACAACGCGTGGCCATTGTCCTACAGATATCGATTCCCACCAGCCGAGAAATAAAAAAATTGAGGCCTCAACAAAGCGATATTGGACTCCAGTCTACAAGGTAGATCGCGATCACCCAAGTGGAACGACCCGGGGCTGATTGGATCTAAACGGGATCAGCTGGTTGTCTGTTCGTGAAGGTCGGGTCTTCATCTGAGGACCTCGACTGGCAACACACAGGTCCTTGATCAAAGATTTAACCGGATAGTGTTAGGTGTTTTATCAGTGATACCAATCGTTTTTAACGGCTTTTGTATTTAAAAAAAAAAACAACTGATACAATCGTGTGAGGGCGGATTCTTGGGGGTGGTGTGAAAATATTTACATTAATTTATGATATCCAAGCAAAAAAAAAAACTTGTCACCATACATGAAAAGTTAATTGTATCTTGAACCTTTGTTTACTTTAATGTAGGATGTTTTGGATGTATGTATAGAAAGGACTAAGGAATTATGACTGGTTACAGAAGTACTAGAGCTTAGGATATGGGGGAGTCCAAAACGCCACTGATCAAAGTCTCCCTATACTAAACTCCACCTGTATCAAATCCTCACACCTGTACTAAACACCACCTATATCAAGCTCCACCTGTATCAAGCGCCACCTGTACTCAACTCTACCTATATCAAGCTCCACCTGTATCAAGCGCCACCTGTACTCAACTCCACCTGTACTCAACTCCACCTGTACTAAACTCCACCTGTATCAAGCGCCACCTGTATCAAGCGCCACCTGTACTCAACTCCACCTGTACAAAGCTCCACCTATATCAAGCTCCACCTGTATCAAGCTCCACCTGTATCAAGCGCCACGTGTATCAAGCGCCAACCTATGCATGTAGAAACATGGCTTTAGGTCAAAAAGGCACTGACGAGCACATGGCGTCCCGCCACACCTCCACCCACCCCCCACAATGGATGAAACAACTGGAAGTGAAATACCAAAGACTACACGCTAAAATCGCCAGCCAGGCGTCTCGCATTTCAAATAAACGACACCATAATATCGTCCAAAGGAAGGGCCCCGCGACCCGATTAAAATTAGCACGGACTATAGGTAAGGAAGAATCGGACACAGGTATAGGTAAGAAAGAATCGGACACAGGTATAGGTAAGAACGAATCGGACATAGGCACAGCTATGGGTATGGAGGAATTGAACACGGACATTGTCCCGAGCTACGCACCGGTTAAAGAATACCCCAGCCAGCCGTTTGAAGACAGCAGACATGGAACTAACGAAGCGCGAATCGTCAAACCCGACCATGAAATGAATCCCGCCTCACCTAACCCGGCCCACCGAATGTGGAGGAGCGAGGGGGTAGACGAATCAAGGGACGGTACTGCCGCGAAGGTTGAAAACAAAATCGAAACATGCGTCGCGAAGCCAGAACACAGCGTGGAAAAACTAATAGCTGTGGGAAAAGATCCCAAGACAATTCTATTGACGGAGTTAGCGGGAAGTTGTGATCAAGATTTTGGTGAAGTGTGTTCGAGTCTTCAATGCCCGGATCTTGTTTTACCGTGTTGTGCTGAAAATGACCAACTTGACCACGCGAGTGTTATTAGTTCGGTGTTTCATTCGAAATTGAATCTGGAGTTTTATGAAGCCGAGGAACTGAAAAGTGACGCGTCGTTTGTTTTAGATAAAAACGGCAATTCTACAACAGCGGGGGAGTTTCAGAAAAATTGTTTGACCCTGGCGTTAGACACTGAGGGCGGGGATATGGAGGTGGGTAGAACGAGACAGCGACATCGGGATAATAAATCTCGAAAAATTCACGGAAAATCGAGTCAAGTCACAACTCATTCTTGTCCAGCTTCGTTTCGAGAATTCGGGTATTCAGATAACGGTGACGTAAGTGTTTTTAAAAGAGTGAACAACAACTTTGGTTCGGCCGAGTTTTACAGCTCTGCGGATGGATGGGGGAATGTTGGACGTACCAGAGTGTTCGCTAGGATGTCTAAAGAAGCGCGGCATGCGGTGGATGAGACGCTCAGAGAGATGGAGATGGAGGAGGAGCTTCAGAATAGACTTGGAGATGGAAGCAGCGGTCGCTCTCCGCGCGTGAACAACAACAACAACAACAGCTCAACGATTCTAAAAATTCAAGACGGCGAGGACAACAGCATGTCTGCTGAAAGTGAAGTGTCCATTCCTTCCAGGAACATCGGGGTGAAGCTCGCCAAGAACGATAACAACCAACCCCCGCAGAGAGTGAAGAATACCCACCTCAGCTCAACCTACCCTGGCACCAACAGGAGTAACAGTCCTAAACCTAACGCCAACGGACGGACGAGCAGGAACCGGAAACTGCCGCAGATCGAGCGCGTGGGTTCCCAGTCTGGCAACCACTTCCCCAACCCGCATTCCCGTCTGCCGGATATTGGCAGGCCGCTGACGTTTCGGGAGAACACGTTTGAGATCACGCCCGTGGACTTCGACATCCGGTTTCATCAGATCATCACCTGCCAGACGGGGAGGGGGGAGACCCCGCCCCCAGACGTCCAGCAGCAGGCTATCGAGAAGTGCCAGCAGTGGCTCGTGCGACACACGCCCAGGCAGTTACCTTGACCTTAAGGTACCTCGACCTGTGTAACACTGGATGTTATGTGTACTTTGACCTTAGACCACTTTGACCTTAGTGTACCTTGATCTCAGGGTACCTGGACCTTAGGATACTTTGACATCAGGGGATCTGACCTTTACCTTGCTATTAGGGTAAATCGATCTAATGGTATCTTAACAACTGGACCTTATGAAACCTGGGCCGTAGGATATCTGGGCCTTAGCGCTTCTGGGCCTTAGAAAACCTGGATCTTATGATATGTGGATCTTAGGCTACAAGGACCTTGAAAATCAGGACCTTAGACTACCTGGGCCTTAGAAAACCTGGATTTCAGTGTACGTGCATCGTAGGGTACCTGGACCTTATAATACCTGGACCTTATGTTACTTGGACCTTATAGTACCGGACGTCATGTTCCCTGGACCTTATAGTACCTGGACCTTATAGTGCCTGGACCTTATAGTAACTGGACCTTATAGTACCTGGACCTTATAGTGCCTGGACCTTATAGTACCTGGACCTTATAGTACCTGGACCTTATAGTACCTGGACCTTATAGTACCTGGACCTTATAGTATCTGGACCTTATAGTACCTGGACCTTATAGTACCTGGACCTTATAGTACCTGGACCTTATAGTACCTGGACCTTATAGTACCTGGACCTTATAGTACCTGGACCTTATAGTACCTGGACCTTATAGTACCTGGACCTTATAGTACCTGGACCTTATAGTACCTGGACCTTATGTTACCTGGACCTTATAGTACCTGGACCTTATAGTACCTGGACCTTATAGTGCCTGGACCTTATAGTACCTGGACCTTATAGTACCTGGACCTTATAGTACCTGGACCTTATAGTGCCTGGACCTTATAGTACCTGGACCTTATAGTACCTGGACCTTATAGTACCTGGACCATATAGTATCTGGACCTTATAGTACCTGGACCTTATAGTACCTGGACCTTATAGTACCTGGACCTTATAGTACCTGGACCTTATAGTACCTCGACCTTATAGTACCTGGAGCTTATGCTACCTAGACCTTATAGTACCTGGACCTTATAGTACCTGGACCTTATAGTGCCTGGACCTTATAGTACCTGGACCTTATAGTACCTGGACCTTATAGTGCCTGGACCTTATAGTACCTGGACCTTATAGTACCTGGACCTTATAGTATCTGGACCTTATGTTACCTGGACCTTATAGTACCTGGACCTTATATTACAGGACCTTATAGTACCTGGACCTTATAGTACCTGGACCTTATAGTGCCTGGACCTTATAGTACCTGGACCTTATAGTACCTGGACCTTATAGTATCTGGACCTTATAGTATCTGGACCTTATAGTACCTGGACCTTATAGTACCTGGACCTTATAGTACCTGGACCTTATGTTACCTGGACCTTATGTTACCTGGACCTTATAGTACCTGGACCTTTTGTTACCTGGACATCAGGATACCTGGACCTCGAATACATTAAACTGAGTTTACTAAGACCTGTACTTTTCGTATTCTAAAATAATTAAACTGCAGCTTTATGCGCTGTAGGTTAGATCACACCAACAATTGCAGTTATATCTTTTTAATTTATTTATTTAGAGCTATCTGAATATACAATGTTATTTATTAATGTATTCACAGTATAATTATTATTAATGTATCAACTGTACTTTTGTACTCTCATACAATATAAAACGTGTAACATTGATATATGAGGAAATCGAACAATCGTTCACCAGTTTATTAGTTAACTTTTTTTTTTCTTTGATGCAATTTAAAGCATCGATTTAGTCCCTGCTGTGGTTTATGTTTCTGGTAATTACACAATCTCATTATTTATTTCTATCAAGGTCTATTGAACAACTAAAAATTAAAAAGGAAATAGGAAAAAACGCCGGCAGGTCTTATAAAAACTGTTTTTCTTCTTAAAAAAAAAAACTAATATCAAATATCGCTGCCTAATTCATAGTCCTAACCATAACACTGACCCTATTCCTGACAAAGAGCTAAACCTTTAAAGTAACATTGGCTTTATCATGGTTAAAGTAAAACAAAAATCTATTCAACAAGTATTAAAAAGATCCTGTTTTTTCTGTTTAGTTAACCAGCCACTACTTTGCTTGATACACCGTGCCCTTGAATAGTGTAATAGACATTACACATGTCTCTACACATAACACGCCGCACCATAAATGTGCGAGTGACACACTTGAGTTTATTGTCAAATAAATATTACACCGCCTTTCAAATGGTTAAAACCTACTCTACAAATGTCCGATTTCTTCTATCGAGGTAATGAAATTGATTTCTCCGTTCCAGAAACCGAACCACGGTTCAGACAAAGAAATCACAATAACGATTTTTTTATATCAACAATTTTATAACAAGGTTCCATTAAAAACTGCAAGGAAAAATAAAATGGACGAAACAATATATCGGGTAAAAAAAATTTCATGTGATTTTGTTTATTATGCCACACAATCAGCAAATATTTCGCGGGTTCTTGAATTATTGATTTATGTATCAAAGTTGATTTTTTTCTCTCCCTTAGATGCATTCGATATTTGCATCAAGTACAGAAGAAAAAACACAACAACTGATTGAGTAGGTTAACAAATGTTGTAACTGTAGATTATTGATTGTTGGGTGCTTGGAGTTGGTTTCACTTTGATGCTGTATTGTGATTGAGTCGAAGATTGTGGTAGTGTACCTAAATATGTTATTTTTTTTTAAAAACTGAGTTTGATTGGACGTATGCTATTTTATAATGTGGTTTGATATGTTGTATGGTAGTCAGTTCGAGTTTAAATGTTATATATGTTATGTTAAACTATAGTGTTTGATTTCATGTAAAGTGTTAACGAAATTTATTGTATGTGTGTTATTTGTGGGTTTTTTTCAATGTGTATAATTTATTAGTTTAATGTCTTGTATGTTAGTGTGCTTTATACATATAAATATACATGTTTATATGTTGGTGTTTGTGATTCGATTAGGTCGCATGGTGTAGTCCATGATTTGTTAGCCTTACCGTAGTGCATGTGTGTGATTATGTGATGGTTTTATGATAGCTATCTCACTAGTGTCGTGTTCAATACTGTAATATGGCATATTTATGTATGTTATATGGTGGTCTGACGGTGTATATAATTTGATTATATCAAACGCTGCCTTTGATTATTTTACGATAATCATAATTTTAAGTGTCAAACATTGATTAAAGAATGGCAGGCATTAATCAATGGCTGTTTCCATTCAGCCCGCTGAATCTCAGTTCTAAAAGTTAGAGGAGAATTTAAAGCATTGTGTTGCATCATAATCAAGTCAGTCTCAAGTTACTTATCATTGTAAGGAGGCTGAAAACGTAATTCAACTTGTGTACATGAAGTGTCTTGAAAAATCCGTAAAATATGTACATATCACATGTTTAGTTTGTAATGATTTCGTGTGTAAAATTGATTGACTTATACATGCACTTATAAAATAATTTATTTAATAATAATTTGTTGAGCATTAAAATTTTTACGTAAACAGTTTTGGTCATCTTGAGGTTGTGCATGTTCCTATTCTGGCTTGACTGTCCATGAGCAGAAGAAGTAGAGTTTACGTGTTTTTTTTTTTACCTCGGCTTACAGATTGTTACCGCGAAAACCCGTACGTGGACTCAGTGGCGTAGCGAGGTCGGGTATCACCCGGTGCGACACTTAATGGTGTCACACCCCCCCCCCCCAAAGGCGTAACGACCCTTCCCGGGGACAAAAAAACTTTGTATTTGCATCCCCCCCTCAAACTTTCGATTTGCACCCCCTCCCCCTCAAACTCGATTAGCACCCCCCCCCCCCCCCGCACCCGTCATATTTTTCTCTATATATTTTGCTATTTTTTGCCTTGGTGTCACCCCCTAAATTGTGTCACCCGGTGCGGTCCGCTCGCCCCCCCCCCTCGCTACGCCTCTGCGTGGACTAAAGAAATAACACGAGCCGGGTAACAATCGCGAGACTTTCAGGTTAGCTAACGAGTGCTCTAGCATTTGACCACACCGCCCCACTGAATACACTGGCTACATTTTTAACATGTATTTTGTGTTATTTATTTCCTTTATTTTGTCTATGGCTAATCATCGTGTTATGTATACTAAACATAACTTATCCATTTAACCGAGCCTCACCCCCCCCCCCATATCTCTCAATTCTTTCCAGTTATTATTAACAAAAATGAATAAAAGAATACAAATGATAAGTACCAAAACATTTATTACACTAAAAATTAAGGTCGTAAATAAAACAACGTTAATCTATACAAAACCTGCAATCAAGAATTCACATACAACCTTCAATAACCTATAGGTAATATATTAAAGTAAAATTATAACGAACCCACACATATCACTATAAGGATAAAATATCTATTCAACCCCACCTTCACGCTAAACATTCATGTAAAATTCAATATCTGTAATTAGCTTAACCGCCGTCATACAATACATCAATCTCTCTAATTACTTAAATCGCCAGCATACCATTTATTATGACGGTACATTTATCCCAAGACTTACACGAGTTTTGACAATCTAACTTGTATTAAGTTGTATGTGACATCATATAAACAACCTAATTTGTATGTGACATCACATTGACAATCTAACTTGTATGTGACATCACATTGACAATCTAACTTGTATGTGACATCACATTGATAATCTAACTTGTATGTGACATCACATTGACAATCTAACTTGTATGTGACATCACATTGACAATCTAACTTGTATGTGACCTCACAACGACAATCTAACTTGTATGTGACATCACAACCACAATCTAACTTGCATGTGACATCACAGTGACAATCTAACGTATGTGACATCACATTGATAATCTAACTTGTATGTGGCATCACATTGACAATCTAACTTGTATGTGACATCACATTGACAGTCTAACGTATGTGACATTATAATGACAATTTAACTTGTATGTGACATCATATTGACAATCTAACGTTTATATGTTACATCACAATTTACCTTAAGACTCACACGTGTTTTGACAATCTAAAGAGTATGTTACCTCACAAGTTACCCCGAGTAACGTGTATGTTACCTCACAAGTTACCCCGAGACTTAGTCTGACAATCTAACGTGTATGTTACCTCACAAGTTACCCCGAGTAACGGGTATGTTACCTCACAAGTTACCCCGAGACTTAGTCTGACAATCTAACGTGTATGTTACCTCACAAGTTACCCCGAGTAACGTGTATGTT